GATCAAAAATCGATAAATTCAACTTTTTCCTTCGATTTCGGTCAAATTCGGTATGTAGGTTATTTACATCGTGACGTGCTCAGCGATACTTCATTTTTATTTCTACGCCACTGCGTATAGCGAGAAACCTCGAAAAAGAAAAAATCAATTTCAATACAAATTTTAAAGTAAAAACTCTCTCAATTTTCAAGAAATCTAATACAAACTTCACTCAGTTGTAGCCAAAAATGAGTTGATTGTTGAGCAGTCATTTGACTTGATAATTGAGTTCATACATATAGTGAAAACCCGCGTAAATAGCGAAAAATGGCGAATTTTACTGGTTTCTTTCTTATTTTTCGTTGATCTTGTAACCAAATTACAGTTGCTTTATAAATATATCCTCCCTGGTAGCACAATGATAAATTTCAAGAACTCCAAAATAATTGTGGTCTGAAGTGGGTCTTCATGTTGCCTGTTTTACTCCTTCATGTCCTCGACTAATATATACAGACTACTTCTGTTATATCAGTAACTGCATTAACTCAATTTTTTTTTATGAAAGTACTTTAAAGTAATTGAAAACTCTGTTATATCTAAACCTGATGCTGTTTTTGCTCCATTCTAAGTGAGCGATTTTTCTGATCGGTGGGTAGTGATAACAATAATAATAATAATAATAATAGTTAAAAAACATTAATAAACACTAAATAATATAAATAATAATGATAAATATAAAAATAATAATAATTGTGGTAGTAATAATAATAATACAAGGATAAAAACAGTATTAATAGTGGTAGTGATGGCCATAAGTAATGGTTCTAAAAGTGGTAACAACAATACTAATTGTGATAGTAATGGCAGTAGTCACAAAATGTTAATTTTGGAGTCTTAATGGTTATATCCGTCGTGTTGGCGATGTTAATTTACTCCTTCATGTCCTCGACTAATATATACAGACTACTTCTGTTATATCAGTGACTGCATTAACTCAAAATGTTTTTTTTTTAATGAAAGTACTTTAAAGTAATTGAAGACTCTGTTACATCTAAACCTGATGCTGTTTTTGCTCCATTCTAAGAGAGCGATTTTTCTGATCGACCAGCTCCGTATGGCTGTTATATATCTATAAAACAGATGATCTGTGCAATTGTGTGTATGTATGCTATTTACGTACGCCCACATGACGTGACCGATTTCAATGAAATTGTGTACACATGTTGCAAGTTTAGCAAACTATGTGAAGACCAACTTTTCAATCTCCAGGCACCCGGGTTTGGCAGAAAAAACTGGGGTGGGGTACGACTTTTTGAAAACACCTAAGCAAAGTTACACGTGAACAAAATTTTCATTGGATGAGCTGATGTTCTTTGCACTCTGTGGAAAACATCAGCTCCTGTTACGAGGTTTATATAGTGGGCTTTATAGTTTCCCTGTGCCATTGGCTTCACGCAAAAAATTTAAAAAAAATAAAAAAATAAAAAAAATCGGCTTTTTCATACTACTTAAAATAAAAACTTGAATAACTTTTTCATTTTTATCCGATTTTCTTCAAAAATGACGCAAAAAATTATCATCATTCAAGCAATAAGATAGTCTGGTTTTAGTCCTCCTCGCTTCTCTTTATTAAGAACAATTAAACGCTTGCAAAGGATATACCATAAAAAGATGAGTTAGGGTTAACAGCTTAATATACAAACGGATAATGCATGCAAGCTGGGACGCAGACAGACATTTCTAGACAGGAAGGTGCGGTTATTCAATTACAGCCATGTACACCCGGGCAACGTCGGATACCTCGGCTAGTGTATCATATTTTTATTAATTCCAAGCCCCCAAGAAAATTAAATTTCAGCATTAAATATCCCATAAAGATTTGATATGCAGTTAAACAATTAAATCAAATCAATTAAAAAAAATCCCTCAAAATGGTAACATCTATAGATTTCCACCATCGAGTTACCAGGTTACTTATGCTTTTACGATAAATAGTCTACGGTTTGGACGCCAAGAAATCTTTGAATGTAGTTTCTACATTTTAGCATCGGAATGTCTTATTGCTAAAAGACTGCCAAAGATATTTTAAAGTGGTAGTTAGCGGGATATCAGGAAAATACGGTTAATGTGGCAAAGGCGGCGACCTTCTGCAGTATGATGCGGGCCGAGCAATGTCATGAAACAGAATTAGACATCGTCGATTAACCAGTACCTGTGCATTTCCTCTATTTCGTGGCAGTAAACGTCGGCTGTGATGCTGTGGTTAGATTCCAGATAGCTGTAATGGATAACATCAAGGGCAAGCCACCAGACAGTCGTGGGTGCAATTTCGGTTTTTGATAGTGATTATAATCAAGTCAGTGAGCCGATCGTTTACGACCGCCTTAAAGGATCCGTTTCTAATCAAGTTTCACTATTCGATCAAGAAATGGATCATTCGAATTACGCAGATGCAGCATCGAACACTCTTCAAAACATCGAAATATGTGAATTTCACTAAATTAATTTGAAACCCATTTATCGAGTTTCTTCATCTTGCAAATTCTCTTGTCACCCATAATCCGAGACATTTCTCATCTTTTTTTTTTTTTTACGTGGGTTTTGTTCGACTCATGTTCTCAAACGTTAATTGTCAATTGAAGATAGACTTCCTCTACCACATTGTTCTTCAAGACTCGTATCCCCACTGTGGAACTTCAAAAACCAGCGACGTACTGTTTGATCACAAATGGATCCTTCACCTCATGTTCCATTACTATTCGGGGTAGTTTCAGAAGCATTTTGACCAAGTTTCAGCTCATACAAAAAAAAAAGCAAACGTATTTCTTTTTCATGTTCAAGATGAGGAGTATATATTTCTATCTGATTAGTTTCTTTACGGTTTATCAACCATTTTCAGGTTATTTAAAGCCAGAAAATATTGTTTTTTTTTAGATTGTAAGAATTTACCAGATAGTTGCCATGATCTTTTGTTGGCTCTGTTTCAGTTTTGGAAAGGGGTTTTTATCCTTCGTCATGATCCAGCTATTGAGTCGATCGTTTACGATCCGTTCCTCATCACGTGTCACTATTCGATCAAGAAATGGATCATTCAAATTTCGCAGATGCAGCATCGAATACTCTTCAAAACACGGAGCTCTTCGACTTTCACTAAGTTCGTGTGGAACCCATTTATCAAGATTCTTCACCTTGCCAATTTTCTCAAGCTAGCCTGATATAAGTGATGATCAGAACGAAGGATCAAAATCTCTTTCCAAAACTGAAATTGAGTCAACAATGATTATTGTAACTGTCTGGTAGTCTACCATTGGTGTCTTCTATTACAACTATCTGGAATCCAACCAGAGCATCACGGCTGAAGTTTATTGCCAGCAACTGGAGGAAATGCACATTCAGCGACCGGAACCAATTAGTCGAGGCAAGGTGAAGAAACTCGATAAATGGGTTCCACACGTTCGACGCTGCATCTGCGAAATTCGAATGATCCATTTCTTGATCGAATAGTAACACGTGATGAGAAACGGATCCTTTAACACAATCGTAAACGCTCGACTGATATTTTCTTAAGATAGCCTGATATAATTGAAATGCTGGCGCCTGTTTATCTGAAACATTTCTCTACCACTTTGATTTTTTTCGACTGGTGTTTTCAGACGTTTGTTGTCAATTGCAAATGGAGGTCCTTTAGCAATTTGATCTTCAAAACTCGTATCCCAACTACGGTAACCGGTGTCGTACTGACCGCTCACAATTGGCTCATTTTAATCACATTCTGTTAATTTTAATGTTATAGACAAGCGTATGGTTGCAAGAAAGAAATATGACAACAGCAGAAATAGATCTACGTGGTTTATTTCAACAGGGACGTGAGGGTTTGGGACAGCTACCTTGTGGTAAAGTTCATAAGCCGGCTTTCTAATCTAGGTCGATCTCTCATAGTAGTTCACACATGTTGACGGTGGTTGATGCTCTCCTGCTGCTGATCGCTCGGCCTGACCGTGACGGTCTGTTTTACAGCCACCTATGGACTGATATTCAGTCACCCCCCCCCCACGAGGGTGTCATGTGGCACAAGGCCTTTTTAACGTGGGCAATTCCCAAGCCATTAGGCTCGGCCAAAAAATAGCCCATTTGAACACGTATAAACGGGTTCTGGGCCGGTTTACCCTCCCGAAGGAGACTCCGCCCTCAGGAGTTGGCGTAGCCAATATTCAGTCGGGTTCCTCCCGCCCGTAGGAAGAGAGTTTAACCGTGCAGTCGGTTCAGAGTTGAGCGACTGACTGACTGCTGTTGAACTTCCGTTTGACCCCTTTTATAGTGTTTTTTTTTTTTTTTGGCTTAACAGGCTCGAAAAACGAAGCGAGTATAATTAGGAGGGAAGCATTTTTATTGGACGAAAAATAGAGCACTTCAAAGGTTTGTTGTACAATCGGAAATTATTTTCCAAACAAAATCTGGCGACGATTCTGATGCATTAATGAGAAGAAAATTGTAAAATTCCTTTGATTCCTTTTGACAAAAAAAGCTCACTACTACAAGTGTAATTAAATATACCACTTACAACCATATCACACTGAAACATCGGGTCTAGTTTCACCGAAGTTAAGTAACGTCAAGTCTGGTCAGTACCTAGACGGGTGTTAGAATAATGAGAAAAAAAAAACTGTAAAGAGGCGCCTGATTTCTTTGGGAAGAAAAAACCCTCTGCTGCAAGTGTAGTTAAATATATTAATTACAGAAATACGGCCATATCTCGTTGAAAAACTGGTTCTCGTACGATCACCGAAGTTAAGCAACGTCGAGCTTGGTCAGTAACTAGATGGGTGTCCGCTTGGGAATACCAGGTGCAGTAAAATTCGATATGTGGTTGTATAAAGGGCTTACAGACATTTCACGTTGAAACACTGCTTCTCGTACGATCACCGAAGTTAAGCAACGTCGAGCTTGGTCAATAACTAGATGGGTGTCCGCTTGGGAATACCAGTTGCAGTAAAATTCGATATGTGGTTGTATAAAGGGCTTACAGTCATTTCACGTTGAAACACTGCTTCTCGTGCGATCACCGAAGTTAAGCAACGTCGCGCTTGGTCAATAACTAGATGGGTGACCGCTTGGGAATACCAGTTGCAGTAAAATTTGATGTTTGGTTGTACAAAGAGCTTGCAGACATTTCACGTTGAAACACTGCTTCTCGTACGATCACTGAAGTTAAAAAAAAAAACATCGATCCCGGTCAGTACTTAGATGCATGACCGCTTGGAAATAACAGGCGCAGTAAAATTGGATGTGCGGGTGGTGCAATGGTCAACGACTTGAAATTGGAAATCGGAGAGCAGGTTTCTAATTCCAGTTGTGTTCGTTATATTTATTTACGCGAAAAATATCCTTTAGAAAGGTATGAATCCATCTCTCCTCCCCCTGTTATGGGTTAATTAGTAAGACTTGTATCAATAAATCATTTTTAGCTCCAACAAATTCTTTTAAATTTAAAGAAATTTTCAGCCTTTAAGTAACCTGCAAAAGGTTGATAAGCCGTAAAAAATAAATGTATATATGTATTATAATGATATCTTTGATGAAACCGAATCGCGAAATTTTTCTGAAGATTTTGTTAATCTCCCTTTCTTCATATTGATATTCTCGTTATTCAAAGAATGAGAATGTTTGTTAAAAAAATAATAATAAATAAAGCAAGAATAAGAGAAAGAAATACGACGTCGGAAAAAAATTCTTACGTTAGACTTGGAAAATATTGAATGCAATTAATGACAATAGAATTTCTTTCTGAATTTTATTTGGTTTATTTTGCCAAAACAAATACAAGAATCGGGTGCGCATAAGTACGTACAATTTAATTAAACATGTGCTTATATTTTGTCGAGGTTACACGTACATAAGTCATTGGCACTTTCTTTCATTGTTACTTAAATACACGTGATATTTTTCACAAATACGCATGTATTAACGTATATAGGGTGTATAAAAAATACTATGACAAATATTGGGGCGGGTTACTTACACCAAAGCAAGGACAAAAGTCAATAGAAACATATGTCCGCAAATCTTTTTGAATTATTAACTTTAAAGAGAATAAACGGTAGATGGCGCTGTGTTGTCATTTACACTAGATTATCTAAGTCATTCGTGTACAATTGTGGCTAGTCAGTCTTCAACGTTTAACGCGTGTAGTTAGTAGTGATTTAACTGGGAATTTTCCCGTTTAACAATGACAGGATGTTCATATCGGGAGCTGGCAGATATGATTTTTACACACGGCCGCTTGAGCGGTAATGGACGCGAGGCTGCGCGGCTGTATCAGATAGCGTTTTTAGGCCGAAGGCAGCCGAATCATCCAGCCTTTGCTGTTGCTTATAATCGCGTTGCTGAGATAGAATCTGTTGCACCTCAAACTATGGATCGAGGAAGACAGATATCCACTCGTGAACCTTGCCACGAAGTACAAATTCTACAGACTGTCGGAAACGATCCAGGTATCAGCACACGTCAAGTGGCACTAACATATTATACGTCTTATGGTACCGCATATAACCTAATACCTATATACAATACATACATATAATACTAAATATGAATGTTGTTCCTCGCTGTTTAGCACAAGTTGTACTGAACGGTAAGAAAGAAAATGTATAAATATATTGTTAGTATAAATGAACTCTGTTTTTTTTTTGTTGTTGTTGTTTTTTTTAAATGGTGTTTACTCTGTACAAGCCCCAAAAGTCATTCGAGGTAGAGCGTTACAAATTAAGAGATACAGTTTATGTGGGTATAGGGGGAAGATAACTCGATACTGATGGGTAGTATTAAGTTGATGTAAGGTGATAGAGAGAGAGAGAGAGAGAGGGGGAGGAGGACGACAGATATGGTCGAAATTAGAAAAAGAAGGGAGACACAGGAATAATTTTAAATCTATTTTTATTAAAATTCTTAAGAGTAAGAGAAGGGGTAAGGACCAGACATTGACTTATTTAACGAGGAAACGAGACAAAGAGAAAAAAGAAGAAAAGATATAAGAAAGCAAATGTGGAAGCAGGGGTGGGAGGAAAAAAGTGGGGAAAGAAGAAAAAGAAGAATAAATTAACATATATAGGCAGATTGCCGTTAATTAAAAAAAAACACAGATTGATATCTTTTGCAGTTAACGTTTGACATTAATTTAAAAATTATCAACAAAATAACATATGATAAAAGGAAAAATATTATAATGTGAATATAAGATAAAAAAATATTAATATTATTAATAACTAAGGTGTAAAAATAATAATAAAAATCTGAAATTTCAAATTTTAATTTTAAATGTTACATAGATAATATAAAATTTAAATATAAAACGTAACACACACACACACACACACACGCACATATGAATAAAAAGAGACAAGAGGAAAAAAGTTTTGTACTCTGAGGGACTTTATCAAACAAGACATTGCCTTGATAAAGCCAATCAGAGGACGAAAAGTTTTTCCTCTTTTCATTTTATTCATTTGCAGATACATTCTATCTGAAAATAATTTACACACACACACACACACACACACACACACACACACACACACACACACACATATATATATATATATATATATATATATATATATATATGAAATGGACAATGTCCGACAATTATTTTAAGACATTTTTATGTTTAACATTCTTTTTATGGATACAAATATTTGAGTAAATGATCTGTTTATAATAAACAGTATTAAACAACATTTACCAGCCTGAATGTCCGAGAAATTTTCATAGGAAAATATTCGTCCTCCGACAGGATTACTAACCTGTATCCTATACGGAACCGTCATTTAGCTTAACGTGCCTTTACAGATTTGGCCACAGAGGAGCGTTCGGGTAGCAAGGTCGAATTTACTGCCTTTAAACTTCAATCTTCCATGAATCACTCCCGTACATTCATGTCTGCTCATGGCGTATCAAATGTAAACAAATGACGTCACACATTAAGTCCGATAATTATTTTAAGACATTTTTATGTTTAACATTCTTTTTATAGATACAAATATTGAAGTAAATGCTGTTTATAATAAACAGTATTAAACAACATATATATATATCAATTTTTCTTGAAGATGGAACAGAGCTTATTTTAGCTCAATTTAATTTAAATAATAATATTGAAGTTTTCGGCTCTAGTTTTGAAACATGAAACTTCTTATGTAGCTTTTTGGAATCATATTTTTAAATAAATAATTATATATATATATATATATATATATATATATATATATATATATATATATTATATTCTTAATAGAAAACTTATAAGTATAAGAAACTATACTCGCTCGGAAAACCTTCGGTGTCTTGATTTGCAAATAAACATGCCAATACCAAAAGGGTAAAAAAGTCATTAAAAAAAATGAAAGAACCAAGAACATGTACGTTAGCCGAAAATAATCGTCCAGCATGCAAGTCCAAGGCCCAAATAAATAAAAAAACCCGATGCGAATAAGCAAAATAACTAAATAGAGTGATCAATACAGTAAGTAGAGCAGACCTAGTTAAACCTCGAGAGCCAGTCAAACCTACCAAGGTTTCACCTTAGCGGATCGTCAGGGAAGACTGGCTTCTCTGACGATCCGCTTAGATGAAACCTTGGTAGGTTTGTCTGGCTCTCTAGGTTGAACTACATATATATATATATATATATATATATATATATATATATATATAACGAAAGAAAGGAAAACTTATCTTAATCGACGTGTTTCCTTCAACGATTGACTTTATCAATGGAAATGTAAGGATTTTATTTTGCAACAACTCCGTATGTCACCAGTTTTTCAGAATGCAAGAACGCTCACAAATGTACGTTAGGCTAACTGAAAGTCAAGGTAAATTATAGACGAGGGTAAGTGATGTAATTTAATGTCTAATAAACGAAAGTGAGTAAAAGTTATTGTCATTGATTTTTTTATATAATGTAATTATTATTTATTTTATTTTAGTTTGAAAAATTCACGTGTGTATTATATATTTTAAATAATAGGTTTTGAATTTAAGCGGTTTCTTTTTAAAATTTATAGTCATCTATACACATACACACATAAACACACATACATATATATATATATATATATATATATATATATATATATATATATATATATATATATATATATTTTTGTTTGTATGTATGTATGTACGTTTTAAGGAAGAGTGTATGTGTACCACAACACCTAAAAGCTATCGTGGCGCAAATGTTTTGATTGATGAATTGAATGTGATTTTCTTTGAAGATTATTTCTTTTCTGGCATTTTATTGATTTATCTAACAAACCTTTTGAGTAATGAAATTTGAAGAACAGGTTTCTATATGAATTTGTTAAGGTATTTGTTTTTTTTATTTTTTTTTTTTGTTTTTTTTTAAAATATTTCATCCGACTTCGTAGCAGTTTCTTTCTTATGTTTCCAAACGCTTTTAAAACTGATGTAAAATCGAGTGCTAATGTTTGGAACCAGTTTTGATTTGACTGAAGGTCAGAGATTTGTTTTAAAAAAGAGAAAAAAAAGTACAAGCGAATATATCTGTAAACAAAAGATTTTTTTGTGTATTCTTTTTACGTCAAGGTTCCTTTTGAATTCCTTTGTTTTTATTCGATTTACTGTTGTCTCTCATATTCACACACAGACACAAACATCGAACCTTTCTCAGGCAGTTACACATACATTTGCATTTATATTTCATATAAATGCACGATACGTCAGGGCTTTTATTCTGTCTCCGTGGCCTTTGGGATTCTTTTCTCTTTCGTTTTTGCATAATAATTAAGTAAACAACGATATATAACGTTATCTAGTACTCCAATAATATTAGAAACAACAATCACAGTAATAATAACAATCTAAATAATAATAATAATAATAATAATATTAAAAAAACCAACATGACAGAGTGGGCCAATATCTGCACTGGAAAATCTGCAACTTCTACGGGAATGAAACTGAAAGAAACCGGTATGAACACCACCCAGACCCGGTTACGGAGATAGGACCTGTTACAATTCTATGGGACTACACAATACACACTGACAGAACAATCAAGGCCAACCGCCCAGATATTGTTATTAAAGACCACAAACAAAAACGGTGCC